CACATTACATGAGATCTTATTGTTTGGTAGTAATAGCCTAACAGTGAAAATGTCACATTGCTGTCAACAGGCCTCTTCCGCATAATCAGGACTGAGATGTTGTGTAGATAGTAACGCAAATTTCATTCTCCAGAACAGAAGGATGATGGCGATAAATAGGCAGGTTACGTACATACTTTCATCACTGTCCATATGGGCAATCAAGAAGCCATTTTCTTCCTACTTCCAATGAATCACCAACAGGAAGATCTTGTATCTTGATACTATGATTCGTCAATTATGTTTAAAACACATGGTTATATGTATGCAGTGGCCACGCTTCTGTGACCTACCTGGCTGCTGGCCTCTGTAAATGACATGCAGAATATTGCAAAATGTGCTTGGGTAGGAGTAGGGTACAGTTTCCCTTAGACTCTGATCTTAGGTCAGTTTTGCATTATCCACTCTAATGGTTAAGGTTAGGATTGGGATAGGGGGGAAGCTGTTTTCTAGATCTGTACCTAGGGGAAACTTTGGAATGACTTCAAATGCTTGACTTGCAGTGTCAGCAGCATTCCATCTGGTAAACAACCCAAAATACAAATCTTTATAAACAATGACAAAGACATTTAAATCAGGAATAGCTTTTATATAAAATTAGAACATCAGATACAGAGGATTATGTTTTTCTATATGTATATAAAAAAAAAAAACATACAATGAAGGAAGAAAATAAATGAAAAAATAAATATATGTTACAGAGAGAGAGAGAGAGAGAGAGAGAGAGATAGGTGTTCAAGTTGGTAGATTAAATACAAAAAGGCACTAAATGTACTACATTCCAGTTTTAAGACATCGAACAGCAGAAGAGGACACACTGAGAAGAAAAATAATATAACATAATATAGTGCTTGTGGTCTTTGAAATGCGGGTCATAGTGCAGGTTTTGCAACATACAATATTATATAAACAAGCACCAAATTACACACTATATTGCTACTTAACAGCTAAAAGTACAACTTCACACTTAAGACACGTAACAGTGGAATGGGTATTGTAAACTGCACTTATCCAAACTTTGACACCGTCATTTCTTGAGCATTTGAGTTTCTGTAAAATAAAAGCTTTTTCATAATGCATAATCAAGGACAATACTACCTTAACTATTACTACACACACACACTAATACTACACAAGCACAAGACCGCAAGATAAGATACAGCATGATGATTTTTTTGGAATGTAGATTAACAATTACTTTTGCTCTATTTTGCAGGACTAGTGGATAAGGCAGTTTTGGAAAACAGGAATGACGCTCCCTCTAGCACTCTTGGGTGATCAAAACCATTTTGTCAACTGCGAAAACAGTTAAAAACACTAAAGATTTTTTTTAAAGACATGACAGTGGAGGGCTCAGCATCAAGACAGAGCACAAGCCATGATTTTTCAAACTATTTGACAAAAATGATACACAATATGAAATTGGAATTCTGAAACACATAATTGATTATTTTGTTAAAACACCAAGAGATACTACCATTGAGCAGAAAGGAATGAATTACAGTAAGGAGCACTATATCTTACATACATTAAACTATCCATATGCATAAATGTTGGTCGGGGTAAGACTGCATTCAGGAATCAAGGAAAAAATGTAAGGGATTAAAACAGCATTTAAAGGGGGGTTGAACGTCCCGATTTAGAATCGGTTTCAATTCTCCTCATTAGGAAATGCGACTGAAAACGAGATTTGGGTTTTGGAGGAATGCTTCGATGTGGGTGTCTTGTGTGTGTTCGAACGTGGCAAGAGTTTGCACATTCACTCTGCCAAAACAGTATACAGTTACAGTCACTCACCTTTCTAGATAACTTGAAACAGTGTAACTAGGTATTGTGTCTGGAAAGATATCAAGCTGGTCAACTTAATTAGCTTCAGCTAGCTGGTGTGCAACCTTGGCAAAGTTGGTTTGACTGTAGCTCAGTTGGTAGAGCATGGCGTTTGCAACGCCAGGGTTGTGGATTCGATTCCCACGGGGGGCCAGTATGAAAAAAAAAAATGTATGCACTCACTAACTGTAAGTCGCTCTGGATAAGAGCGTCTGCTAAAATGACTAAAATGTAAAAAATGATAGTCTATCTTTGGGGCTAGTTAGGGACCGTCAATAAATTACACAATGTAAATGAAACAATCATTTCCTGTTGCACACCTTTTGGTTGTCTCATTAAATGCTTTGAATATTTGTATATGAATTTCTACAATTTAGAGTTGGTTTGAGGCTAAGTCATTGACATTTGGAGCTATTGACATTTAAAAATATTGTCCCATGTACACTATCGGTCAGCATTTTTAGACACCTACTCATTCAAGGGTTTTTCTTAATTTTTTACTATTTTCTACATTGTAGAATAATAGTGAAGACATCAAAACTATGAAATAACACATATGGAATCATGTAGTAACCAAAAAAGTGTTAAACAAATCAAAATATATTTTATATTTGAGATTCTTCAAATAGCCACTCTTTGCCTTGATGACAGCTTTGCACACTCTTGGCATTCTCTCAACCAGCTTCATGAGGTAATCACCTGGAATGCATTTCAATTAACAGGTGTGACTTCTTAAAAGTTAATTTGTGGAATGTCTTTCCTTTTTAATGCATTTGAGCCAATCAGTTGTGTTGTGACAAGGTAGGGGGGGTATACAGAAGACTTTGTCTTTTACCCTATTTGGTAAAAGACCAAGTCCATATTATGGCAAGAACAGCTCAAATAAGCAAAGAGAAACAACAGTCCATCATTACTTTAAGACATGAAGGTCAGTCAATATGGAACATTTCAAGAACTTTGAAAGTTTCTTCAAGTGCAGTCACAAAAACCATCAAGCGCTATGATGGAACTGGCTCTCATGAGGACCGCCACAGGAATGGAAGACCCAGAGTTTCCTCTGCTGCAGAGGATAAGTTCATTGGAGTTACCAACCTCAGAAATTGCAGCCCAAATAAATGCTTCACAGAGTTCAAGTAACAGACACATCTCAACATAGTGGTCCTCTGTAGCTCAGCTGGTAGAGCACGGCGCTTATAACGCCAAGGTAGTGGGTTCGATCCCCGGGACCACCCATAAACAAAAAATGTATGCACGCATGACTGTAAGTCGCTTTGGATAAAAGCGTCTGCTAAATGGCATATTATTATTATTATTATAACATCAACTGTTCAGAGGAGACTGTGTGAATCAGGCCTTCATGGTCGAATTGCTGCAAAGAAACCACTACTAAAGGACACCAATAAGAAGAAGAGACTTGCTTGGGCCAAGAAACACGAGCAATGGACATTAGACCGGTGGAAATTTGTCCTTTGGTCTGGAGTCCAAATTTGAGATTTTTGGTTCCAACCGCTGTGTCTTTGTGAGACGCAGTGTGGGTGAAAGGATGATCTCCGCATGTTTATTTCCCACCGTAAAGCATGGAGGAGGAGGTGTTATGATGCGGGGGTGCTTTGCTGGTGACACTGTCGTTGATTTATTTATAATTCAAGGCACACTTAACCAGCATGGCTACCACAGCATTCGGCAGCGATACCCAGTCCCATCTGGTTTGGGCTTAGTGGGACTATCATTTGTTTTTCCACAGGAAAATGACCCAACACACCTCCAGGCTGTGTAAGGGCTATTTTACCAAGGAGAGTGATGGAGTGCTGCATCAGATGACCTGGCCTCCACAATCCCCCGACCTCAACCAAATTGAGATGGTTTGGGATGAGTCGGACCGTAGAGTGAAGGAAAAGCAACCAACAAGTGCTCAGCATATGTGGGAACTCCTTCAAGACTGTTGGAAAAGCATTCCAGGTGAAGCTGGTTGAGAGAATGCCTAGAGTGTGCAAAGCTGTCATCAAGGCAAAGGGTGGCTACTTTGAAGATTCTCAAATATAAAATATATTTTGATTTGTTTAACACTTTTTTGGTTACTACATGATTCCATGTGTGTTATTTCATAGTTTTGATGTCTTCACTATTATTCTACAAATGTAGAAAATAGTAAAAATAAAGAAAAACCCTTGAATGAGTAGGTGTGTCCAGACTTTTGACTGGTACTGTAAATGACAGAGTGAAAAGAAGGAAGCCTGTACAGAATAAAAATATTCCAAAACATGCATCTTGTTTGCAATAAGGCACTAAAGTCAAACTGCAAAAAATGTGGCGGGTAACATGCTTGTCATTGGTAAGGGCTAGGGAGTTTTTTTTAGGATAAAAAGAAACGGAATAGAGCCAAGCACAGGCAAAATCCTAGAGGAAAACCTGGTTCAGTCTGCTTTCCAACAGACACTAGGAGACAAATTCACCTTTCAGCAGGACAATAACCTAAAACACAAGGCCAAATATACAGTGGAGTTGCTTACCAAAGCGACATTGAATGTTCCTGAGTGGCCTAGTTACAGTTTGGACTTAAATCTACTTGGAAATCTATGGCAAGACTTGGAAATGGCTGTCTAGCCATGATCAACAACCAATTTGAAAGAGATTGAAGCATTTTTAAAAGAATAATGGGCAAATATTGTACAATCCAGGTGTGCAAAGCTCTTAGAGACTTACCCAGAAAGACTCACAGCTGTAATCGCTGCAAAAGGTTATTCTAACAAGTATTGACAAAGGGGTGTGAATACTTATGTAAATTTAATATCTGTATTTAATTTTCAATAAATTTGCAAAAATTTCTAAAAACATGTTTTCACTGTCATTATGGGGTATTGTGTGTAGATTACAATACTTTCTGAAGGCAGTGTTTCTCTAATCTCTGAGTTGTATTGAAAGCCTTGGTAGCATAAATGTTTTATCACACACATGAACATGCAATGAATGTTTTCAGCAGACAAAAGGAAAAATGTATGACAGAATAAAATAAAATAAACTTTCAAAACAGCATAAATTCTAACCTTGTATTTAAACAACCCCCACCCACCCATCCCATCCTATCCTAAAGCAGCGAGCTATGGTGGCCTGTGCCTTTTGGTCTCCAGTTCTCTTTAGTTTTTCCTTATGTCAGCGTAGACCACTGGCTCCATCTTGTGGAATGAGTTGGGGTTCTTGGTGCCCGAGTGATCCAACTGGGCGTATATCAGCGGCCCCTGTTGTGATGAACATATGGATGGGTGGGGAGATCAGGAAAAAGGGAGGGGGGAAAACTGTGTTAGTAAAAATACACGTCACACTGGTTCAGCTGTTAAGTTCAAACGGCCGACTGCAGATGGAAGCCTGTAACAATGGCAGATTGTTAGTGCTCAGTCAGCGGTAGAAATTATACCCTGAAGATGACAAGAGCAGCCCAGATTGTTGTTGTTCCCCCCCGGAACTACATCTGGGCTGCTCTTGTCATCTTCAGGGTGTAATTTCAACCGCAACTGAGCACTAATCTAAGAATCACACAAGTCTAAACTAATTTAAAAAACGTGAAAATCATAGGAAATATAGTGCTTTCAGAAAATATTCATACCCCTTGACTTACAGTTTAACATGTTGTTGTGTTACAGCCTGAATTCAAAATGGATTAAATATATGTTTTTTTTCTAACCCATCTACACACAACACCCCATAATGGCAAAGTGAAAACATTTACATAAGAATTCACACCCTTGAGTCAATACTTTGTAGAAGCACCTTTGGCAGCGATTACAGCTGTGTGTTTTCCTGGGTAAATCTAAGAGCTTTCCACATGTGGATTGTGCAACATTTGCCCAGTATTCTTTTCAAAATTCTTCAAGCTCTGTCAAATTGGTTGTTGATCATTGCTAGACAACCATTTTAGTCTTGCCATAGATTTGCAAGTAGATTTAAGTCAAAACTGTAACTCTGCCACATTCACTGTCTTCTTGGTAAGCAATACCAGTGTATATTTGGCCTTGTGTTTTAGGTTATTGTCCTGCTGAAAGGTGAATTTGTCTCCCAGTGTCTGGTGGAAAGCAGACTGAACCATGTTTTCCTCTAGGATTTTGCCTGTGCTTAGCTCCATTTCATGTATTTTTTATCCTGAAAAACTCCCCAGTCCTTAACAATTACAAGCATAACCAAAACATGATGCAGCCACCACTATGATTGAAAATATGGAGAGTAATGTGTTGCCCCAAACATAACACTTTGTATTCACGACAAAAAGTTCATTGCTTTGCCACATTTTTTACAGTATTACTTTAGTGCCTTGTTGCAAAACAGGATGCATGTTTTGGAATATTTTTATTCTGTACAGGCTTCCTTCTTTTCACTCTGTCAATTAGGTTAGTATTGTGGAGTAACTACAATGTTGTTGATACATCCTCAGTTATCCTATCACAGCCATTAAACTAACTGTTTTAAAGTCACCAATGGCCTCATGGTGAAATCCCTGAGCAGTTTCCTTCCTCTCCGGCAACCGAGTTAGGAAGGACGCCTGTATCTTTGTAGTGAATTGGTGTATTGCTACACCATCCAAAGTGTTATTAATAACTTCACCATGCTCAAAGGGATGTTCAATGTATGCTTTTTTCATTTTTACCCATCTACCAATAGGTGCCCTTCTTTGCGAGGCATTGGAAAACCTCCCTGGTCTTTGTGGTTGAACCTGTGTTTGAAATTCACTGCTCGACTGCTGGACCTTACAGACAATCAGCTTTTCATTTTTTTTTTTTAAATTGGCCATTTCTGAAAACATAATTCCACTTTGACATTATGGGGTATTGTGTTTAGGCCAGTGACCCAAAAAATCTCAATTTAATAAATTTTAAATTCAGGCTGTAACACAACAAATGAGAGGCGCCTCTCATTTCTGTCCGTCACAAGATCAGCAAACGAAACCAGTCGACCGGCAAAGTTGACCGCAAACAAACACCCTCAGAGACACAGAAAGAATAAAAGGTTATTCTTTTCCCAGACATAGGCCTGCAATATCAGTTTCATCAGAGGCCTCCTATGAACATTCATAAGCAATGCATAACACCTTCATATGCACTACATGAACATCTATGCATGCTTATGTCAGCAACAGCAGCTTTGCAAAAGGGTATGCCGTGACGCTCCGGCCTGCTGTTGTTGACATAAGCATTTAGAGCTCAACCTAAATGAGAGGTCTCACACATTACTAGTGAATGTATTATGTTGTTCAGTGATCACCAATCCTAGTCCTGAAAAGCTACAAGATGTGCAGGCTTTTGTTTCAGTCCAGCACCAAAACACCTAATCAATTCAATAACAATTTATGATTATTTGGATCAGGTGGGTCACTGCTGGGCTAGAACAAAAGCCTGCTCCAGGCCCAGGGTTGGTGACCACTGAAGTCAGTCTGCAGAGAAGGGGTATCCGCCTCCAGTACTTGAGGGCCACAATGTCTAGGGGTCTCTACCTTAGACTTAAAAGGGACATTACACTTCAAAATCAAAGCATGTCAGATGTTTTCAGACCTTAAAAGTTATCCAACTTCAAGATAAGTCCACATTAGGGCTGGGCAGTATACCGTATTTTACTATATACCGTTTTGATGCACGGACCAATTTGGGTTTTTACATTACCTTCTATAACAGTATTTGAATGTTTGGTTTGTTAAATGTGAAAGACCGTGTGTAACATCCATTTTTATAGTTTACACCGCTACTTGAGTCATCCCTCTCCGCTCTATCTCCATTACGCTTTCCACACAGACCTAGCCCCGGCCCCTGTCACTCAAGGAGTGCATTTGTTGTTGCTTGACCACGAGATACTTGCGTTCAGTCTGCATGGTCAATGAAGCACAAGTAACAATGTTGATGACAACGATGATGTTTTCACTTTGCTTCTTAATATAAATCCACTAGCGTTCTATAATTACACTACAAGTTTGTGTTTCTTCCATCTGTGAGGTTCTATTTTCTAATAATTGGATTGAAGTGATGAATAGCTTAGAAGGAATGCATTAATGAGGAGCATAGGTTTGAACTATACTGATATAAATTGTTTCACATAACAGGCTGTGATTCATGTGAGGAACGTTAGGGGCTAGGATGAGATAAAACTTGTATTTCTTATAGATAAGACTTGTATTTCACACAGATATGAACACTGCTTCTTTGTGATCTGTGAACCTTCCAAGGACATGGGTACTGCAAAAAAAGTGCTAACTCCACAGGTTGTTATGATAAACTTATGCCTGGCAACAGTGTGCAACAAATGGAGCGCCGAGGGATTGGGACCAACCCGTGCGCCAACGGATTGGCTGAGTAAGTCTAAACCACGCTCAGTCTACTCTGATTGGTCAGCAGAGAGGTGGGAACTCTCTCTCTCTCTCTGTCAGAGTATTTGAGGAAGAACCAGTAACAATGGATTCAGTTCTCTGAGTGCCCTGCGAGGTATTTCAGTGGACCCGTATATACGAACCTTCATACTTATCATACATACATTTTGCATATAATAAATTTAGCTTGGATTGAAGATCTCTTGATTCTTATTCCAATACCAGATTTGAATTACGCAATTTCTAACAATTGGTGACCTCCGACTGTGATCTGGTAGCGGAACTTCGCTGGGATTCATCCAGCCTATTGGACATCGCTGTCGTCGAACCGTGTGTTTCACAAAGTGCCCGGGCTTCTAAAAACACAGGTAAGCAGACACCTATTGTTTATATAACTAAAGTTCTGCATATTGGCTTTATCCAAATTAATTTTGTGAAACACCTGTTTGATGTAAGTGACCTCTATTATGAAATCATGTTGATACAATTTTAGTTTACTAACTTATTATAAAATGCAAAATGTTTGATAAATGTGAGGGTTAAAAGCCATGGTATATTGAGTATTGTTCCACAGAAGAGAGGTTCTGGGAAAATACTGAAATCCCCAGACTAGGTACCACCGGGGGTGGGCTGGGGATATAGGGAATTATTGGATAAAAGTGTGTACGCTATTTGTCACTATATTCCATAAAAAGCTATTGTCATTGTATCAGTCTAGGCTGAATATAATTGGGAACATAGACTAATGAATATATTGTCATTGTATCAGTCTGGGCTGGATATAATTGGGAACATAGTCTGGATATAGTTAGGATCATAGGACAGCACTCGAGTGTGTACGCTATTTGTCACTATATTCTATAAAAATCTATTGTCATTGTATCGGTCTGGGATGGATATAATTGGGAACATAGTTTGAATATAGTTGGGATCATACGACAGCACTCCTAAAAACTTAGAAGACAGTATAAATCGCCATTTGTCGTTGTACTTAGGTATTGGCCGGGACAACTGGGAACATGGGTAGATACTGCAAATTAGTAGAGAGTATAAACTTATTGTCTTTGAACCAATAGGGTACAAATGGGAACATAAGTGAGATACTGCAAATTAGTAGAGAGTATAAACTTATTGTCTTTGCACCAATAGGGTGTAAATGGGAACATAATAAATAGAGTAGGTTAAACGAAAGGGGTAAGGGCGTGGCAACGTACCTATTGTTGGTACTTTAAAAGTTAGACAGTGCGGTTGTTGTCGTATGCATGAGAGTGTGAATGATAAACCTGTATACCTTGATAGAAAATTAATTGGGAATTAAAACGTCTGTGGCTGTCCAAACTGTATAATTTTGGGATAACTGTTGGGTTTGTGGTTGCTTAAACCATATAACCCGTTAAAAACAATTGGGAACATAAAGCTAAAGTGATGAATTGTGTGACTGAACTGAAACGGTTGAGCTGATATGTTTGAACTGTGCCGTTTGGTGTTAGACATAGCATAATTCTGGTTATAGGTGCTTGGGTTGAGGCTTTTTTGTTGATTATTTGATGTAATGTTTGATGTTTGACCCTGCAAAATACTGGTTAAACAATTAGACTGAAATAATTCGGTTTATCGTTTAAATATAAACGTGCACCAACTTTAACTATTTAGGTGGGAATGATTTGATTTAAATAAATAGACTAAAGTACCTTAAATAACGACAGAATATTGGAAACACTAACAAGAAACACAGCTCCTCAAAAGCTGAAGAGAGAGTTGCGAGGGGAGGGGCTGGAGAGAGCGAAAGTGTGGCTTTTGGAGCCAGGAAAGACTGGGAGTTGGCTGGGAACACCACGGGGTGATTATTTGAGAGGTGCCTGGGGGTTTCTGACGATGGATATTCTGAACTTGCTCACCCGAACGTAGACGTACGTCATGGGTGGGAAAGTGGAGAATATTCACATTTGCATTTTTTGTAATTTGGCAGACGCTCTTGTCCAGAGCGACTTGCAGGAGCGATTGGGGTTGAGTGCCTTGCTTGAGGGCACATCTGCAGATTTTTCGCCTGGTCGGCTCGGGGATTGGAACCGGTGACCTCTCGGTTGTTGGCGCGGCGCTATTGATCACTAAGCTGCCTGCCGCCCCATATGAGTTTAGGGTTGTGGCGTTGTTTGATCATGTGATAAGGTTTAATGGCTAATCGGACCATAACTAATGTGGTTATGGAAGTAATGTATAGGTAGGGGAGAGCCAATAGGGGGCTCCATTGAACTATTATGGTTTATTTTGCATTTCAATGGCATAAGGTGAAATCTGTATGCATGAGGGGAATTCGATTATGTATTATTATAGTATTATGGACACTCCGTAATAAATAAACTGAACCAAACAAGACGTTACTACAGCAATAGAGAATAGTTAATGTTGTTACGTTAGTTCTTAAACCCGATGATAGAGGTAAATGCAGAACGCTGTTAGAGAGTGTGTTTTATTTTTGCTACTAGGGTGTTTGAGACGGAAGGGCTGGCTAGACGGGGGGTGATGACGTGGCGTGATGACGTGGCTGGTTGTGAGAAAAGAAAGTATTTACTTTGAGAGAATCGCAGATGGGGGAATAGCGCCAGCCTGTGGTGGGTTCTGGAATTGTTACATAAAACAAACTTATATTTTAAACTAAAGTGATGGAGTAGGCTACAATTATAACATTATCAGAAAAAAGGCACAATTTAATGTGAAATAGTTATTACAATTATTATGGATAGTTATTACAGTTATTATCATTGATCCAGTAATGATAGAAGGATAGTAGAGGAAAAGCAAGGGATTTAATCTCATTTAGGGAAGTTATATTAGGAAGAAAATACCATTAAATGAGGGAACATTTGATGTAACCGTGATTGTATTGGCTAAAAACTCAAATATGACATTTACAGGGAGGACAGGAACAATAGAAGGGGAGACAGATTTTCCTAGGGGGTTGAACAAATAATTGATAATGGATCATTTGAGATGAGATCACATGTAGCAGAGTTAGGGTAATCAATTAAATAATCATTGTATACTCGAGGAATTTTGAGTGGTTTTATGGATTAGTTATGAGGAATTAGATTGATCCAAACAATTATTGATGGGTTAAGACTGGGGATATCTGTATCATGTTTTGTGTGTACTACCATCTTTAGATTATAACCAGGAGAAAGAGATTAGCTCATCTCAGTTAGGCAGTATTTAGGTCATAAAAGTGAGCTACCAAATTAAGTGAGGCCTGGCTATTTGTGGTTGTTTTTCAAATTGGGTTTTTCAAACAAAAAACAACACACCTAGTATTATGTTTATAAGCTTTGTTGTTTCAATTTTGGGGGGTTTTCAGCAGGTCAAGGGTGATAGGTCTTAGAGGAACACACACAGTGAATTTTATGGAGTTTTTTAGGTTTTGGGGTATATATGATTTCTTATGAGAATGAATTGATAATAACTGTAGGACTTAATGAACACTTGGGATAACTAACATTTATGAAATATTTAGAATTAATAATTAGAATAATGGTAATGTTGGTTATACTATGGGATGGAACAGTTCATTGAATAATTTCAATTGCCTCTGAACTCTGTTTTAACCTTCTGGTGTTAATTAATCATCCACACTAGTAAATTCTAAAGGCATGAGAGGAGGACTTTAAGATAGTAAAATAAACTAAGTTGAGGGTAATTTATAGTACTGTGAAAATTGTGAAGAAGATTATAATTTGGTAATAGTATATTTGATTTGAACCATTAAATAACAGAAGATAGAGTGGAGGGATGGCAATTGGATAATGAATTACCAATATTACCTAAGTGATTGTTTAGGTAGGTGGTAATAGACACATGGGCAAATCATGTGTCAAATGGGGGATGGATGGTATGGTAGGAGATGGTAGGATTAAATAATAAATATATACGAAGGAGATGACAAAATACTTTTAAAAAAAAAGATTAGAAATTGAGAGCTGAACATGTATGTGCGAAGATAGTTTATTAACCACACCCGTATGTCAGAGGTTTTGTGCCCCACAGGTGAACTAAAGGAGAAGGTGACCCACTATCTAACCAGGAGACTGGGTGTGGATCCAGTCCCTAAAAGAAGAAAAACTGGAAGCAGGCCTGTTGGGAAGGGCCCTATCAAGTCCTATTAGATCCACCTGGGTGCATGTCACACACTGCAAAAAGGTAAACCCAATTACACCTGACGAACAAACACAGAGTTAGGAGAAAGAACCGATCACCACTAGGACTCGGGGGTTGGCTACTTAACGAAGATTCCCTTACCCTGTCTGATCATCCCTGTGTGAGTTCGATAGAAGGTAAAGCAATGGGTTGGCCTCTGGCGTCTGACATGTTCTCAGGGCAAGGGTGGGGATTCACAGGTCTCCTGACGGTAGGTAGCTGTCTGATTGTGGGGGCCATATTCCTAGCACACTCAGACCCTCCTGATCAGCCAGAAGTAGTAGTTAACCTAACACAAGTTGATAAAATAATACCTGAGCACAGTCTACGAAGGCATAGGAGACAGCTAGACGTAGGGAAAGGGGAAGTACTAGGGACTTTAGGGAAGGACATCACCATATGTATGTCACCATGTACATCCTGGGACTATGCAGTTGCTCATACCAAGCGGGGGGGGGGGGGGGGGGGGGGGGGGGGATATGTCAATCTCCATACACAGTTTAGGGACAGGTGTAGTATTGTGAAAGTAGGGAATTACCAGAAATGGCAGTGCGATCCATATAAGGGTAGGTACTGTCTGAAAGTCTGAATTAGGCTAAAACAGGTTACAGACCTGAACAAGTGAGATATCCTCTTCAACTGGGGCACCCTATAGAGTAAACCTCTCTGAGGGAGGTAGTGAGACCGGGGCCAAACCAAGGTTAACAACTACTCCGTTCCCCTTGACAGGCTTTGACTCTCTGTCAGGTTTATCCTCCATTATTAAATTGTTCAAGCCACCTGGGAATGTGTTAAGGAGTCTTATGGTAACTTGCACTATCTGTTTCCCCCGATAACAAAGTCATCCCGACCTGGGTTGCCTCCGTTTGAAGTCACAGGGGATTCTTATTGTTTTTCTAGGACTAATAAGATAGGATACAGGGTAGGGCATCTTAGCTCCTGCTCCCACACAGAGAATGTCACAACTAAAAGAGACCATGACTAATCTCTCCTCTTTGTTGCAGCCAGAGGATTTTAGGAACCAAAACCAGGCCCGTGCTGACATCTGATGGTTGTGTGGTGATAACAGATTGTGAACTCACCTACATGCGCAAACAATCAAACGTGTCAGAGACTGGTGAGTTGTCACGTAGAAAGTAGGACCTCCTCCCGGGATCCTTTGATGAAAGGATATATATATATTGATGGGATAGGAGTACCTCGAGGGGTTCCAGAACAATTTAAAGCTAGGAATCAGATCGCAGCTGGGTTTGAATCAAGTCTTTTCTGGTGGTCAACAATAAATAAAAACGTAGATTGGATAAATTATAAAGATTTATAAACCACACTCGTGATGCAATAAAGGGATTAGCTGAGCAGACAGCGGCAACTAGCTTAATGACATGGCAGAATAGAATAGCTTTAGATATGCTTTTGGCTGAGCGGGACGGGGTTTGTGTTCTGTTTGGATCTATGTGCTGTACTTTCACACCCAAACAATACAGCACCGGACGGGTCCGTGACCATCACCACGCTGGCGAACGAACTGGCTGAGAACTCTAGTATTGATAGCTCCATAAAACGGTTGGTTTGATAACATATTTGGTAAATGGAAAACTATTGTTGTAACTATTCTGGGTGAAGTTATAGCTTCTATGGGTATACTTGTTCTTTGTGGATGTTGTCTTATTTCCTGTGTCTGAGGGTTGGTGAGAAAAGGAGATGGAGAAGGTGGTTTCCCAACAGATGGTGAGATACGGCCCAATCCCGGACTCCGACCTAAGGAATGAAACCAGGCTTGGTGGAGTGACACTCTAGAGGGTGTCTAAAGGGGGCCAAAATTTACTTCCCTGTTGGTGTTTTATGTTTTAATAATCTTATGTTTTGTGTTCTATTAATCCTGTGTTTTATGCTTTATTAATCAAGTTAACCATTGTGAATGTTTGTCTTTCCTTATGTGAAGGTTTGAAGTTCCTGGGTGACTTGTAGCCAACCGTTTGCAAGTTGGGTGTAGATGGAAGGACTGAGGGTTTTTATTTTTTAGTATCATTATGGCCTCTTAATAAAAGTGTGATTATTTTTGTTTGTATTGTATTTTAATGACTGACACCCTGTGTTTTCTTATTTTGGGTTCACACCCAGTGGGTGTGAAAAGGGGGATTGTGAGGTTCTATTTTCTAATAATTGGATTGAAGTGATGAATAGCTTAGAAGGAATGCATTAAAGAGGAGCATAGGTTTGAACTATACTGATATAAATTGTTTCACATAACAGGCTGTGATTCATGTGAGGAACGTTAGGGGCTAGGATGAGATAAAACTTGTATTTCTTATAGATAAGACTTGTATTTCTCACAGATATGAACACTGCTTCTTTGTGATCTGTGAACATTCCAAGGACATGGGTACTGCAAAAAAAGTGCTAACTCCACAGGTTGTTATGATAAACTTATGCCTGGCAACAGTGTGCAACAAATGGAGCGCCGAGGGGTTGGGACCAACCCGTGCGCCAACGGATTGGCTGAGTAAGTCTAAACCACGCTCAGTCTACTCTGATTGGTCAGCAGAGAGGTGGGAACTCTCTCTCTCTCTGTCAGAGTATTTGAGGAAGAACCGGTAACAATGGATTCAGTTCTCTGAGTGCCCTGCGAGGTATTTCAGTGGACCCGTATATACGAACCTTCATACTTATCATACATACATTTAGCATATAATAAATTTAGCTTGGATTGAAGATCTCTTGATTCTTATTCCAATACCAGATTTGAATTACGCAATTTCTAACACATATGCAAACGGCTAGTTAGTCTTTTCTTAGCAAATTGGCCTAAATCGTGTTAGCCGCTAACGCTAATCGCTAGTTAGCAAGCTAGCTAATAAATGTACTGAGATAGAGCAAACGTAACTAGCGATACAGCCTGATAATACCAGTGATGGTGTAGACCTAAATCAGCATGTTGTTTGTGCAACAGTATCTTCTAAATCAAAGAGGAATACGTGAATGTTAGCTACATGAAGTAGCTAAGAGAAAACATTCAATGTTGTCAAAGATTATATGGTCCCCTAGGAAACACTTTAGTTCCTACCCTATCACAATAACTACTCCCTGTCATTTTCATTCGGTGTCATGTCAAACAACACTGTATTCAAAGTGGCACTATTATATTCTAACTATAGAATTACAATAATCATTCCATTTCCATGATTCCAACAGTTCACTCAGGGATGTAGCTCAGTTGGTAGAGCATGGCGTTTGCAACACCAGGGTTGTGGGTTCGATTCCCACGGGGGGGGGGGGCAGTATGAAAAATAAAAAAATAATGTATGCACTCACTAACTGTAAGTCGCTCTGGATAAGAGCGTCTGCTAAATGACGTAAATGTAAAAATGTAATGTGTTTTGCTCAAACCGCAATTGCAACATTTGGTTAAGAATAAGGCCTAGATTGTTTGCCCATATCATGCAGCCCTACATGGCAGCATGGAAATGACCTCAAATGAGTGCAGGAAATGCAGAAATTGATAAATTGTTTTTGGTTGAAGATGAATTGAACTGTATAAAACAAATCAGAATGGAGAAAGACCCATTGAATTAACTTAGAATGTATGTGTTGCCACCCTAGGGTCACACACTACTCATAAAGCAAATACCGTCAACATTAAAAAAAATACTGGGATATTATATTTTGTCCATATCGCCCAGCCCTAGTCCACGTCTCATGCCAACGGTTGTGTGAATCCAGCTATGCTTCAACACCAAATGAATGGGAAAGATAAGCACTGCAAATCTGGAACTTTCATGGCGCTTATATCTTCCATTGATTTTAGTTTGTGGCATATAGCTGGACCTACACAACAGATGGCCTGGGACGTGCACTCATCTCGACATTAGACTACTTTCTGAGGTCTGAAAACAAATGACAAATTTAATACCAGTGATTGGTTAGGGAGTGTGTCCACCTGGGTCATGTTCAGTAGGTAGAATAGTCAACATTTTGTTACAATGTTCCCGTACTTAACACGACCCTGGTTTTCCAGGTCTGAAATCAGATGGATGAAAAACTAAAGAACATTGACAAGCTGACACAGAAGCCATCAAGGAGATCAGCTTGAAACCCTATGCTGTAGTAGCCAAATGTTGGCTTGACTGACAGCAATAGAGTTGGCAAGAGCACAAATAGATCTGAGCGAGGGTAATGCTGTAGTGCAGATGAAATCCTGCGACTAGTGAGGTCTGGCCGCCAGAGAACCTGCCCACTCGACCCCATTCCCTCCCCCCTTCTCCAGACGATCTCTGGAGACCTTCTCCCATTCCTCATCAACTCATCCCGGACCACTGGCTGCGTCCCCTCTGACTTCAAAACGGCCCGAGTCGCTCCCCTCCTCAAGAAACCAACACTCGACTCATCATACATCAAAAACTATAGACCTGTATCCCTTCTTTCTTTTCTTTCCAAAACACATGAGCGTGCCGTTTCTGATCAACTCTCTCAGAACGATCTTCTTGACCCTAACCAGTCAGGCTTCAAGATGGATCACTCAACAGAGACTGCTCTTCTCTGTTTCACAGAGGCTCTCCGCACTGCCAAAGCTGACTCTCTCTCCTCTGTTCTCATCCTTCTAGGTCTCTCCACTGCCTTCGACACTGCAAACCATTAGATCCTCCTCTCCACCCTCTCAGGGCTGGGCATCTCAGGCTCTGCACACTCTTGGATTGCATCCTACCTGGCAGGCCGCTCCTACCAGGTGACGTGGAGAGGATCTGTGTCTGCTCCACATACTCTCACTACTGGTGTCCCCCAGGGCTCGGTTCTAGTCCCTCTCCTCTTCTCTCTATACACCAAGTCACTCCGCACCGTCATATCCTCACATGGTCTCTCCTATCATTGCTATGCGGATGACACTCAACTACATTTCTCCTTCCCCCCTTCTGACACCCAGGTGGCGACACATATCTCTGCGTGCCTGGCAGATATCTCAGCTTGAATGTCAGCCCACCACCTCAAGCTCGACAAGACGGAGCTGCTCTTCCTGCCTGGGAAGGCCTGCCCGCTCAAAGACCTCTCCATCACGGTTGACAACTCCACAGTGTCACCCTCCCAGAGTGCAAAGAGCCTTGGAGTGACCCTGGACAGCACCCTGTCGTTCTTAGCAAACATCAAAGCAGTGACTCGCTCCTGCAGGTTCATGCTCTACAACATCCGTACCTCACACAGGAAGCGGCGTAGGTCCTAATCCAGGCACTTGTCATTTCCCGTCTGGACTACAACAATTAGCTGTTGGCTGGGCTCCCCGCTTGTGCCATCCAACCCCTGCAACTTATCCAGAACGCTGCAGCCCGCCTGGTTTTCAACCTTCCCAAGTACTCCCATGTCACCCCACTCCTCCGCACACTCCACTGGCTTCCAGTCAAAGCTCGCATCCACTACAAGACCATGGTGCTTGCCTACAGAGCAGCAAGATGAACTGCCTCTCCCTACCTTCAGGCTATGCTCAAACCCTACACCCCAACCTGAGCACTCCCTTCTGCCACCTCTGGTCTCTAGGACCTCCCACCCCGACGGGAGGGCAGCTCCTAGTCCAAGCTCTTTCGATACTTACTATGCCTGTAGTATGTGGTTGTCCCACCTAGCTATCTTAAGATGAATGCACTAACTGTAAGTCACACTGGATAAGAGCGTCTGCTAAATTACTAAAATGTAAATGTAAAATGTAGTGCATCTCAGCTCTAGTTAGTTAGTGTATCCCTCTCCACCCTGTATGTGTCTCCTGGGCGACGGTGGGTGTGGATGGTCGGTTTGAGTCACTCACTGTAGCTCCTACCTGGACCGGGGCGGAGGGGCTGCTACACCTGGAGCCCTCCAAGCTGGACTCTGGTTTCTTCCCTCCCATGGGTGTGGCGTGGGAGCTCACACTCTCCACTGAGGTGCAGCTAGTTTTTGCGCCGTGCGAGGGGTTTGCAAATCAGAGGAGAAGGTTTGTTTTGTGCAGTTCGGGAAGCATTGGCGCACAGAGAAATTGTCGACATGGACAGACACAGACACACACACACAGGAGAAGACTTATGGGACAAAAATGCAAATCAGAGATGGGCAGATTCTGCATGGGTTATGCGGCACATTTCTAAATGACTGCTCCTAGTGGTTGGGAGGAGAGCTTGGCAGGAGTGACATTCATTGGGTAGAGACACTGTACTGGAAGATTAACAAGGCATGCATTTGTATGGGCACAAGGCGCAAATTCAAATAAAGATAGTATTTTATCCTATGGAAGACATTAACTGATTAACTAAGAAAAAGCATCAAAAAAATAAATAATAAAACTGACTTAAAAACCAATTAGTTTACCTAATAGCCTATACTACAATCAATTGGTCAATAAGTAAGAGAATAAATAAAGAAGTGGATTAGAGAAAAACAACATTCCCCACCCCAAAGATGTGGTCACCCACTTGAGCGATTAGTGTTGTGTACATTCAGATCATACCAATGTCAGTCAGTGGTCCACTAAACACTGAAGAGCAAACATGGCACTCCTCCGAATCAACACACACACACACACCATGTATGTGTCCCAAATGGCACCCTATTCCCTACATAGTGCACTACTTTTGACAAGAGCCCTATAGGCCCTGGTCAATAGTAGTGCACACAATATAGGAAATAGGGTGCCATTTGGGATGCACATACAGTGGGGAGAACAAGTATTTGATACACTGCCGATTTTGCAGGTTTTCCTACTTACAAAGCATGTAGAGGTCTGTAATTTTTATCATAGGTACACTTCAACTGTGTGAGACGGAATCTAAAACAGAAATCCTGAAAATCACATTGTATGATTTTTAAGTAATTAATTTGCATTTTATTGCATGACATAAGTATTTGATCACCTACCAACCAGTAAGAATTCCGGCTCCCACAGACCTGTTAGTTTTTCTATAAGAAGCCCTCCTGTTCTCCACTCATTACCTGTACTAACTGCACCTGTTTGAACTCGTTACCTGTATAAAAGACACCTGTCCACACACTCAATCAAACAGACTCCAACCTCTCCACAATGGCCAAGACCAGAGAGCTGTGTAAGGACATCAGGGATAAAATTGTAGACCTGCACAAGGCTAGGATGGGCTACAGTACAATAGGCAAGCAGCTTGGTGAGAAGGCAACAACTGTTGGCGCAATTATTAGAAAATGGAAGAAGTTCAAGATGACGGGCAATCACCCTCGGTCTGGGGCTCCATGCAAGATCTCACCTCGTGGGGCATCAATGATCATGAGGAAGGTGAGGGATCAGCCCAGAACATCACGGCAGGACCTGGTCAATGACCTGAAGAGACCTGGGATCACAGTCTCAAAGAAAACCATTAGTAACACACTACGCCGTCGTGGATAAAAATCCTGCAGCGCACGCAAGGTCCCCCTGTTCAAGCCAGCGCATGTCCAGGCCCGTCTGAAGTTTGCCAATGACCATCTGGATGATCCAGAGGAGGAATGGGAGAAGGTCATGTGGTCTGATGAGACAAAAATAGAGCTTTTTGGTCTAAACTTCACTCGCCGTGTTTGAAGGAAGAAGAAGGATGAGTACAACCCCAAGAACACCATCCCAACCGTGAAGCATGGAGGTGGAAACATCATTCTTTGGGGATGCTTTTCTGCAAAGGGGACAGGACGACTGCACCGTATTGAGGGGAGGATGGATGGGGCCTTGTATCGCGAGATCTTGGCCAACAACCTCCTTCCCTCAGTAAGAGCATTGAAGATGGGTCGTGGCTGGGTCTTCCAGCATGACAATGACCCGAAACACACAGCCAGGGCAACTAAGGAGTGGCTCCGTAAGAAGCATCTCAAGGTCCTGGAGTGGCCTAGCCAGTCTCCAGACCTGAACCCAACAGAAAATCTTTGGAAAGAGCGGAAAGTCTGTATTGCCCAGCGACAGCCCCGAAACCTGAAGGATCTGGAGAAGGTCTGTATGGAGGAGTGGGCCAAAATCCCTGCTGCAGTGTGTGCAAACCTGGTCAAGACCTACAGGAAACGTATGATCTCTGTAATTGCAAACAAAGGTTTCTGTACCAAATATTAAGTTCTGCTTTTCTGATGTATCAAATACTTATGTCATGCAATAAAATGCAAATGAATTACTTAAAAATCATACAATGTGATTTTCTGGATTTTTGTTTTAGATTCCGTCTCTCACAGTTGAAGTGTACCTATGATAAAAATTACAGACCTCTACATGCTTTGTAAGTAGGAAAACCTGCAAAATCGGCAGTGTATCAAATACTTGTTCTCCCCACTGTATATCCTCCATTTTGAATAATAAGGTCAGTTTGTTCACTCTCTACAAGATCTCTCGGCTCACATCTAACCAGGGGATGTATTAAGTGTCTCAAAGTAGGATAAACTATAGAAAAACTATATGCATTTGATTTAAAATATGAAATATAATTTATACATTTAAAAAATGTGATAGAAATGAATCTGAGGTGGCAAGTAGTCTAGCGGTTAGAGCGTTGGGCTAATAACCAAAAGGTCGCTGGTTCGAATCCCCGAGCCTACAAGGTGAAAAATCTGTAGTTGTGCCCTTGAGCAAGGCCTAATTGCTCCTGTAAGCTAAATGACTAAAAGGTAATCTTGAAACTCTGTTAGCATTTAGCTTTTTGTGAGACTTGAAGAACATGTGTATGTTGTTCAGAAGGTAGTGTTAGAGGAAACAGGAGAGCCACATGACAGTGAGACAGAAGAGGGAGGAATTAGTGGTTAGTAGTGGATGAGTAACATGTGAGTGACAGACAACAACATGAACGTTAGATGACAAGCCAAGCTTAACGATGCGCTTTTTATCCTCCACTGTGGGCACTGACAGACAGGATATCTCTCATCTTTCTACATTTTTGTCAATAATTATGGTAGATTTGGATGATAGGCTAATTAAAAAAACATTCCGAATTGAGTCTAGATGCATAGTTTTAATCGCAGTGTTAAAAAAGTATCTATTTAAATCTAATGTGATATCCACCCAAACAAAATTATTTTAACCTAGATAATTTCATGAGAAAAAAAAAATTGAAAGTCGTACACATTGGTGTTTTACTGTATACCCATTACAATCAGGGATGGGCAACTTTGATGGCGGTGGGGGCCACAAAATCTGAACTCATCATGAGGGGCCGTAGTGGCTCGCGGGTCTGCGTACCCACATTCATACATACATGCAGTCATAGCTGGCCCTAGCATTTTGGGGGCATTTTTGCAATTCTACACATTTTGCCATGGGGAGTAGAGAAAATGTTTGCAGTTTTTAATATGATATCTGGCAAGACAAACTTACCCATCTTAAAAATATTAGTCGACATGGGCTAATTGAGTGACTGCCAGTGACTGCAAGTGACGAAATTGCACCTTGTGTATTCTACTATTCTAACTCTCAACATTGTTGAGACCCCTCCTGTGTTGGGGGGAAATTGATTCGCAGGCCTACAAAAGGGGAGCCTCCGCCAATTGCCCATTCCTGCGACTTACTATTCCGTTAGTCAACACCTCCCCTACTTATTTGGGTGTGCGTCAACTAATGCTTTATATTAGACCTAAGTCATGAAAAAACCTTGAAACCATCTTGTGATTCAGGTAGAAAAGAGGGAAATGTCTACAATTAGCATTTAGCCTACCCTCTAAACACCTTCTAGTCAGAACTAGCGTGACTTCCTCTACTCACATCTCTCATGGTAAACCAGGAGCACCCATTTGAGCTAAGCAGATCTGACACCTACTAGGTCAGTAAGTACTTCATGGTTATAGGGCATTTACAAGTACTGCTGGTACAATCTAACCCCACGTAGTCAGCACACAGACACACTGGAAAGTCCAGCCGCGTCTATCGACTGAGTTTTCATTTAAGGTTATTTCGGACACAGACACACTTTTAATCACAAACGTGTTACTGTATTATTCCAAGAGAGAGGGCATAAGCGACAATCCACCGTAACCCAACCCCCATATCCCATGCAGCGGAGTTAGGGCTAAGTGTTAAGATCTGCTGACTAAGAACGTGTGTGTGTGTGTGCGTGACCCAGAAACACGCCAGGGGCGAGGTTGGGAAGGAGAGAGAAGAAGAGATATTCAGGCAGGCCCCACAACCAAACAGTCCATTAAAACATCATTTTGAAAGTAGACCTCCAATCACTGCAAGGGGCGCTTTCAGAAAAAAAGACAGCTATGAACATCTGATGCGTAATTTCTGCAGAGATGAAGTTCCTTTTGATTGACCTTGTCAAGAACCATTGACCGCATGCAGTAACGGTTTGACAGTAGAGCAGTCGTCGCACACAATTGGAAATTACACTGAGTATAGAAAACATTAAGAGCACCTGTTCTTTCCATGACATAGACTGACCAGGGGAATCCAGGTGAAAGCTATGATCTCTTATTGATGTCACTTGTTAAATCCACTTCAAATCAGTGTAGATGAAGGGGAGGAGACAGGTTAAAGAAGGATTTCTAAGCCTTGAGACAATGGAGACATGGATTGTGTATGTGTGCCATTCAGAGGGTGAATGGGCAAGAAAAGATTGAAGTGCATTTTAAAGGTGTATGGTAGTAGGTGCCAGGCGCACAGGTTTGTGTCAAGAACTGCAACACTACTGGGTTTTTCACGCCACCCACCACCCAAAGGAAATCCAGCCAACTTGACACAACTGTAGGAAGCATTGGAGTCAACATGGGCCAGCATCCCTGTGGAATGCTTTTGACACCATGTAGAGTACATGCCCTGACAAATTGAGGCTGTTCTGAGGGCAAAGGGGGGGGTGCAACTCAATATTAGGAAGGTGTTCCTAATGTTAGGTATACTCAGCGTATATCACCAGGATAAAAGACTCCTCTGTGTGATTTCTTTTGTTTGATCAAATATTTCATTTTTAGATACCTCCTAAAATACTCTACAGATACTGATGGTCAGGTGTAATGATTGATACTGACCAAAGTCAAGTTATTAAAGTACTATTAAAGCTATCTACTACCTTGATGGTAATTCAAGGGAGAATGCCTTACCCTTCGTATTCATGGCTGGTTTGATACCTCTTAATGATCAGGCAGGTAACCACAGCGATGAGGATAAGCCCGATGACGCACACGGCGCCCACTATGACAGCCGTGTTGTCTTGAGGGAGAGACTCTGCAAAACAAGACAACGTAAGCATCGAAACATCATCATACAACATTACAATTATGTTACAAAGTCACAGCTGTGCAAATACTACTAGGGCCTTATACAATATTGTAAAAAATTATTTAACTTAGTAGGGAATCAATGAAATGAAGTATATCATAATACATCAGTGAAAATTGAATTAGGCTAAACAAATTATACAGATTTTATAGGGCCTAATACTACCAGTTCAATGTTTGAGACGTTAAATCAGTGTTAGTGTTAAAATTGTGAATCTCTTGTACGAGTGTTTCTCAACCCCTGGTTAGTAAGACGTTGTTAATCCCTCCGTTAGTTTGTTAGGTGAAATGTATTTTCTGGCTGTTTTATTCCAAGTCATCCTTCAATGTGAGAGATATTGGTCAGGTCCTATTGAAAAGTGAATTGAGTTTTGCTGTACTGTTGTGAATCTATTTGCAAGTTTACCTTTGATAACAACCTTGAGCTGTGTCTGAGCGGCGGTGCCAGATATGTCGGGCGGGTTAATAACGGCACACGAGTAGGTGCCGTTGTCGTTGAACTGCGCCTCGATTAAATGGACTGAGGCATCTTTTTTGTTCAGGTCTCCCGCCCATTTCACCCTGTCTTTGAATTGAGCCACGCTCCCTGGGTAGTGCTTCCCAGAAGTGTAATAGAAAATCTAAAAAAAGACATCGGAAAAAATAATGTTGATATAAAGAATGACTGAAGAGAAAATAGATAGTGCAAGAATTGCACACAATGGCGGCATCCCATTTGACACCCTATTCCCTTTATAGTGCACTACGTCTGAGCATGCCCATGGGGCTCTGGTCAAAATTAGTACACTAGGCTATATAGGGAATATGTTTCCATTTGGGACATAGCCAATGACTAAGGACTCATAACAGGAAATGGGAAAGACAAGCAAACAGGTTTAACCGTTGGGATGCTTATGGCTTACCTACATGACTGGGCACTTTTGCCAAGCAACAGCAAAACTGCAAATCTTACCCTGATACTGTGTGTTATGTTCGTATCTGCTACTGTACCAAACTGATTGGGCAATTTGTTTAGCATTTACATGACAGACAGATATCCTCAATAGTCATTTTGTTTAAAAGATGAGAGTGGACATATAGCTGTGTGGATTAGTGTGGGTGTTGGTGACTCCCTCTCCAACTACACTCTGTTACAAGGCCGGATACAAGCACATCATTACGGGCAAGATGAGCCAGCTTGCTAGATCTCTAGGGGAGGGAAATGGGAATACGGGGACTAGTTCCTACCATTACCATACAAATCCCAGCATTGCAAAAATGTATTTAACTTAAGAAACTGCTCTGTCAGGCTCAACACTTTTCCCACATAAACAGGTCAATGTTACTGCCTCATTGAATTGTGGGTCATGTTCATTTGGCCACGAAATATTTTTATTTTGCAACAGGAAACAAAACATTTAGTTTCCTATTGGACAAGTCCAGGTAGCCCGTTTGGTGCCTAATGAACACGACCCAGTTCCTTTCTAGCTTCCTACCTATAATAACACACTATCTATATATATATATTGCACTGAACCAGAGGAGGGAAGGAGCATTGAATTCAAAGCTTAAGTTTGGAGAAACATGAAAGGGAAGGAGGCAGGTGGTCAGGAAGAAGTGGCCTAGAACATAACACAACCCTCCTCAGGCTCCTTTCCTTTCATTGGACCACTCACAAACACACGCACACTCCCTCACTCTTTTCTGTGGCAGTGGGCCTAAATAATACCAGGAAACATGTTGTGCTAGAACACCCCTCGGTGGAAGTTCTGAGAGAAAGCTCATGGGAGTTTCATGGACCTCAGAAAAAGAAAGGACTCACGGAAACGGCGTGTCCGGCGTCGGATCCCGCCGGGCGAAACGACCAGGTGACTGTGGCTGCACTGCTGATCACTTCCCTGGACTTGAAGGAACATTTGAGGATCCCCGTGGTGCCATTCTCAACCAGCACTTCCGCCGGGGTGTACAACTCTATGGCCAATGTTAGATTTAGACCTGTTGATAAAGAACCATCATTCAGTTTCTTTCTTAATGTATTCAACGTTGAGAAGCTGGGAGGGATTGGGGCTCTATAGGCACTTAAATGTATACATCAAAGCTTTGATGCTTTATAGCTGCTAGGCCTAAGTTTACCTAATACATCAGACTTTTACCATGGTTACCCAATGGCTATTCAGTCTGAAAGAAGTCACATGAGTCTCAAGCCAGAATGTTGAATACAATTATATTTCAACTTACTTTACCGGTTGTCCGTGCTGTTGGTCATTTTGACAGTAGTAAGTGAAGATAAAATGTCCACAAGAAAGTATTATTAACCTGACTTTTTGGGGCGCCGGTCTGTATATGGCTCTATCGGCTTGTATTTTCAATCTCGACGCATTGCACGTGATGCATAATATGTAAACAATAGCCAAATGTTGTCGACCGAAGCACGTTTCCTCGCAATCAGCTAGAAGTGCTTGCATCTCACTGCAACGTTCGGTTTGTGGTTTGGCTACTGTCAGCCATTGTTTACATATTTTGCAAGTGTTTACGTCCCCTGTGAATTGCGCCAGTATTGAAAATATAAACTGACAGAACCATATACAGACCAGCGTACTGAAAGTCGGGCTAATAACACTTCCCTGTGGATATTTTGTCTCAGATTACCTCCGACAAAGACAAAATCAGCAGACAACAGTTAAAGTCAATCCAAATGAAGTTTATTCAACAATCTGACTTGTAATGGGACTGTTCGGAAATGTTGAGGCTACAATGCTAGAGACGAGAGTGTAAGTCTTCCACTCTCGGCTTCTAAATAGGGACTAGGCCTAAGTCATTTCCAGCTATCGGAAAAGCGGATATAGAGACATTCGCTTCTGTGTTCTTACAACATAATCTGTGTTAGTGTAGTCACGATACCAGTATCGCGATTCAAGAAAGTAAGGAAGCAAAGGAAACAAAACCTGAAGGAAAACAGTCCTAATGTTGAAAAATAATAGCCTTATGTTGTCACCCAGAGTCACATTTGTTTATTTTGCAAGCTATAGCACGCAATATTTTACAAGAGTAGGTTTTAAAAAGGACCATAGAGTTAAGTCTGCTTCTGGGTTTTTTGCCAAAGGAAATCTGGTATCATAGTATTGCGATACTGGTATTGTGACAACACAAATCTGTGTTAACTAGTTTCGCATAGCTTAAAGCTTATACAGCGAGTTGTTCAACAGATTTCTGTACATATTTGGCAACATCTTCTCCATTTAGAGAGAGCCAGGTCAGAGAGGAAGGCATGCAGTGACAAAAACATGCTGACAGAGCAGAATGCAATAATAAAACAGCTGGACACTTCCCCTGCAAGCCTTTGAATTTCAACCCAACACAGACTTTGCGCAAGCAACACACAAATGGAAACCAAGTCCATTGGAAGCGATATGATATGGCATCTCAAAAGTGCAGTAGACCACAAATCATGCGATAAAATAACCATGGCTGACATTTTAACAAAAAAAAACCAGATAGAACAAGGAGCCAGATGTTTCACCGGATGTATAAATCTAAAGCATCCGGTTGGAATTTCCACTCCCCACCAAATATGGCGAGGAGAGGAAGCCCAGTGTCCGAGTATGGAGCGAGATGGAACTGGGCCGACATTTTGCAGATTTTCTCATTGAAGAAAATCTTGAGCTCAATTAGGGACGGACGATCCCAGTATCGCGATACTCGTTAGTATCGTGGCAAGGAAACAAAGCACGAAGTGGATTTAATTTATTTAGGAAAACAGCCCTAGTGTTAGAAGCAAACATCATTATGTTGTCATCCAGAATCACATTCATTTATTTTCGAAGCTATAGCACACAATATTTTACATACAGCAGGTTTTTAAAGAACCAAAGAGTCGGTCTGCCTCGTGTTTTAATTTTTGCCATGGAAAAAACATTGCGATACTGGTATAGCCCCAACACTGGTGCACAAAGTTTTGTAGACTTGACCATTTGGCCAAGTTTCTAAAAATTGCATTGTTTAAAAGGAGTTCAAGTGCAAATGTAGATATTGCACACACACATACTCCCTAACAGAAATATGCAAATACATGCTAGAACGGGCCAATAGGATCTCGCTAGTTGGTGCATGGCTCTGCCCACCTCCTTCCTTGTTCCGCACACTATACTTAATTTGTTCCCATTGCCAAATAAACTAATGAACTATCTTAGTTATAAATATATTTGCTAAAAATGACATAAGCTAAGTTAAATATTTTTAACTTGCTGTACTATGAATCCATCATATTTAGTAAATAATAGGTAAATTCTTACTTATCATGCCAAAACAATAGATTTAGAGGTCATTATGTCAACCTCGCGTCTGTGTATTTTGAGATATTCTTTGGTATTTTGCCAACTAGCTACCTAGTTAACAAGCTAAGCTAATCAGACCCTAACCAGCTAGCAGGTACTCTAGTTACTATCTGCATCACACGCCTTAATTTGAAATACGACTATCGTACCAAGTCACGCACTAAAGCTAACTATTATCGCCGTTTAGCTAGGTACAGTAGCCAGCTAACTAATGCATATTATGTTCGCAGTTATCTAGCATGCAAACTACTGTACTGGATAGCTCACTAACTAGCTAGCTACCAACTATAGCAATCATATTGTTATCAGCTTAGCTAGAGTACTACTTACCGAAAATAAGACATAACGTTATTCCACATAGTAAAACACAATTGCACGCGGGGTTTGTCCGTCTTAGCTCCATAACTTAGAATGCAACAATATTACCCCCTTCCTGTTTTTAGGTCTAACGTTAGCCAGCGTCCAGTTGCTCATCCACTGCATCCTTTCCTGTAAGCAATGCTCGTGATGCGTTTAAGCCCTGAACAGCGCCTGATAGGCAGCTCTGTCTCCCAGGATGCGAGCCGCCCCCAAGACCAGAGCCAACCGCATGCAAGGAACAACGAACCACATTCAAACAGAACCAGAAAGCTAAAGCCTTGTGATGGGGAAACCAAGGCTTTCTGAAGCCTTTGGGGCATTCACCAAATAATGCTGAAAAACGGTTAATTACTCTTAGTATTTAACACAATGCACATTAGTGACATCTGCTGATCAGCAATGAAAGCAGCGTTTGATGTTCATATAGAAGGTTATTCCACAGTATATCAAATTTAGTGGCGCAGTGGTTAGTCATGGGTCTTGGCCTATTATCACATACAGTTCGCACCTTCAAACCAACCTAACAGTAGCTGCTAGGGGTAAGTTATAACCTACATTTGTGTTTTGTTTTTACATACTGGTAGCCAGAGTCGTTCAAGGGAATTTGGGACATGGGTGACTAGTTAACGTTAGCTTGGCTCTCTCTGCGTGTTCGTGCCGTGGGAGGACGGGTTTCTTCGTTGGCAGAAAGCAATGGCTAGCTAGTATGCTAACTATTCTAGCTAACTAACTGGCTGAATAAGTTGACGACGGACTCGCTCAAGCTGTCGGGACTAACCCACAACGTTAGACACGGACACGAATGATCTGCTTGGCGTGTTGACACACTGGTGGTTTGTTGTGGCCAAGTATTGGTGCTAAACCGTGTTGTTGGAGTCCGGCATGCTAGTTGGCTGTGGCGTCATATGATTAGGTGCCCTGGACGATTTTCACGGAAGAACACTGTACCAAGTTAGCTAGCTGAATAAACTAAGTTAGTCTATTCCTAGAAAACATTGAACCGCTGTAGTTTACAACAATTATAGTTTCTGAGGTGGAAGTTGGGAGAGTTATATTTGGGTGTTTCAGTGAAACGTAAGTGAGGGAGGCCCCACTCTCTCCTTTCCCAGATGTTTAGTTCATTTCATTCCGATCTCCTTTGCATTATTGTAGCCATTTTCTGTAGCCTGTCAACTATGCCTCTGTCTATCCCTGTTCCCTCCTCTCCGCACAGGCTATAAAACGCCTCACACCGCGTGGCTGCTGCCTCTCTAACCTGGTGGTCCCTGCACGCACCACCCACGTGGAGTTCCAGGTCTCAGGCAGCCTCTGGAACTACCGTTCTGCTGCCAACAAGGCAGAGTTCATCTCAGCCTATGCTACCCTCCAGTCCCTCGACTTCTTGGCGCTGACGGAAACATGGATTACCACTGAAAACACTGCTACTCCTACTGCTCTCTCCTCGTCTGACCATGTGTTCTCGCATACCCCGAGAGCATCTGGTCAGCGGGGTGGTGGCACAGGAATCCTCATCTCTCCCAAGTGGACATTCTCTCTTTTTCCCCTGACCCATCTGTCTATCTCCTCATTTGAATTCCATGCTGTCACAGTCAAGCTTAACATCCTTGTCATTTATCGCCCTCCAGGTTCCCTTGGAGAGTTCATCAATGAGCTTGACGGCTTGATAAGTTCCTTTCCTGAGGATGGCTCACCCCTCACAGTTCTGGGTGACTTCAACCTCCCTACGTCTACCTTTGACTCATTTCTCTCTGCCTCCTTCTTTCCACTCCTCTCCTCTTTTGACCTCACCCTCTCACCGTCCCCCCCCCCCCTACTCACAAGGCAGGCAATATGCTTGACCTCATCTTTACTAGATGCTGTTCTTCTACTAATCTCACTGCAACTCCCCTCCATGTCTCCGACCACTACTTTGTATCCTTTTCTCTCTCGCTCTCCTCCAACACTACTCACTCTGCCCCTACTCAGATGGTAATGCGCCGTCGCAACCTTCGCTCTCTCTCTCCCGCTACTCTCTCCTCTTCCATCCTATCATCTCTTCCCTCTGCTCAATCCTTCTCCCTCCAATCTCCTGATTCTGCCTCCTCAACCCTCCTCTCCTTCCTTTCTGCTTCCTTTGACTCTCTATGTCCCCTATCCTCCTGGCCGGCTCGGTCCTCCCCTCCCGCTCCGTGGCTTGATGACTCATTGCGAGCTCACAGAACAGGGCTCCGGGCAGCCGAGCGGAAATTAAGGAAAACTAGACTCCCTGTGGACCTGGCATCTTTTCACTCCCTCCTCTCTACATTTTCTTCATCTGTTTCTGCTGCTAAAGCCACTTTCTACCACTCTAAATTCTAAGCATCTGCCTCTAACCCTAGGAAGCTCTTTGCCACCTTCTCCTCCCTGCTGAATCCTCCCCCCCCCCCTCCTCCCTCTCTGTGGATGACTTTGTCAACCATTTTGAATAGAAGGTTGACGACATCCGATCCTCGTTTGTTAAGTCAAATGACACTGCTGGTCCTGCTCACACTGCCCTACCCTATGCTTTGACTTCTTTCTCCCCTCTCTCTCCAGATAAAATCTTGCGACTTGTGACGGCCGGCCGCCCAACAACCTGCCTGCTTGACCCTATCCCCTCCTCTCTTCTCCAGACCATCTCCGGTGACCTTCTCCCTTACCTCACCTCGCTCATCAACTCATCCTTGACCGCTGGCTATGTCCCTTCCGTCTTCAAGAGAGCGAGAGTTGCACCCCTTCTCAAAAAACCAACACTCGATTCCTCTGATGTCAACAACTACAGACCAGTATCCCTTCTTTCTTTTCTCTCCAAAACTCTTGAGCGTGCCGTCTTTAGCCAACTCTCTTGCTATCTCTCTCAGAATGACCTTCTTGATCCAAACCAGTCAGGTTTCAAGACTGGTCATGCAACTGAGACTGCTCTTCTCTGTGTCACGGAGGCTCTCCGCACTGCTAAAGCCAACTCTCTCTCCTCTGCTCTTGTCCTTCTAGACCTGTCTGCTGCCTTTGATACTGTGAACCATCAGATCCTCCTCTCCACCCTCTCCGAGCTGGGCATCTCCGGCGCGGCTCACCCTTGGATTGCGTCCTACCTGACCGGTCGCTCCTACCAAGTGGCGTGGCGAGAATCTGTCTCCGCACCACATGCTCTCACCACTGGTGTCCCCCAGGGCTCAGTTTTAGGCCCTCTCCTATTCTCGCTATACACCAAGTCACTTGGCTCTGTCATATCCTCACATGGCCTCTCCTATCATTGCTACGCAGACGACACACAACTAATCTTCTCCTTTCCCCCTTCTGATAACCAGGTGGCAAATCGCATCTCTGCATGTCTGGCAGACATATCAGTGTGGATGACGGATCACCACCTCAAGCTGAACCTCGGCAAGACGGAGCTGCTCTTCCTCCCGGGGAAGGACTGCCCGTTCCATGATCTCGCCATCACGGTTGACAACTCCATTGTGTCCTCCTCCCAGAGTGCGAAGAGCCTTGGCGTGACCCTGGACAACACCCTGTCGTTCTCCGCTAACATCAAGGCGGTGACCCGATCCTGTAGGTTCATGCTCTACAACATTCAGAGAGTACGACCCTGCCTTACACAGGAAGCGGCACAGGTCCTAATCCAGGCACTTGTCATCTCCCGTCTGGATTACTGCAACTCGCTGTTGGCTGGGCTCCCTGCCTGTGCCATTAAACCCCTACAACTCATCCAGAATGCCGCAGCCCGTCTGGTGTTCAACCTTCCCAAGTTCTCTCACGTCACCCCGCTCCTCCGCACACTCCATTGGCTTCCAGTTGAAGCTCGCATCTGCTACAAGACCATGGTGCTTGCCTATGGAGCTGTGAGGGGAACGGCACCTCCGTACCTTCAGGCTCTGATCAGTCCCTACACCCAAACGAGGGCATTGCGTTCATCCACCTCTGGCCTGCTGGCCCCCCTACCTCTGCGGAAGCACAGTTCCCGCTCAGCCCAGTCAAAACTGTTCGCTGCTCTGGCACCTCAATGGTGGAACAAGCTCCCTCACGACGCCAGGACAGCGGATTCACTCACCACCTTCCGGAGACACTTGAAACCCCACCTCTTTAAGGAATACCTGGGATAGGATAAAGTAATCCTTCTATCCCCCCCCCCCCCCTTACCCCACCCCCAAAATAAATCTAAAATAAAATAAAATAAATAAATACATATTGTAAAGTGCTTATCCCACTGGCTATAAGGTGAATGCACCAATTTGTAAGTCGCTCTGGATAATTGCATCTGCTAAATGACGTAAATGGAAATGGAAATGAAAGTAGCTAGCAAGCAAGCCAACGTTAGCTAGTTAGCTTGGGTGCTTGACTGAGGTTGTGAGGTTAGAACGCTCGGATCAACCCTGTCCAGTCCAGTGTGCGCTCTGAACACTCGGTGAGCAAAATGTTCTGAATTTACAAATGGACAATCTGACAACGCTCTGAATTTACGAATGCCCAGAGCGCACTCTGAGCACACTCTGGCATTCCAGATAGAATTTACGAACACACCCCAAGACAGATTAAAAGTATGACAGAGAGACTTTGGAAGGCCAGGGCCCAGGTGAATAAAACATCTTCTGTGTTTCACTTAAGGATTTACCTTAAGGAATAATTTCCCCTTACTTAAGGGAATTGTTTAAGGGCGTTACAGAGAGCCCCTCAAATGTTTTCCTTAGGTAAGGGCATACTTGGGGTATTTTATAGTAGTTTGAAGGCATGTACAGCAGAAAGAGTCTCTGGTTACATTTACATTTTACTCATTTAGCAGACGCTCTTATCCAGAGCGACTTACAGTTAGTGAATACATTTTTTTTTTATACTGGCCCCCCGTGGGAATCGAACCCACAACCCTGGCATTGCAAACGCCATGCTCTATCAACTGAGCTACATCCCTGCCGGCCATTCCCTCCCCTACCCTGGACGACGCTGGGCCAATTGTGCGCCGCCCATGAGTCTCCCGGTCGCGGCCGGCTGCGACAGAGCCTGGATTCCAACCAGGATCTCTAGTGGCACAGTTAGCACTGCTATGCAGTGCCTTAGACCACTGCACCACTCAGGAGTACCATGGAGATGACCTGATTCACTGATTTATTTTGGGAGATTGCAAAATAGAACTTCTACATT